ATATTTACATGAATTGACGTACGTAAGTGTGTTCAGTGATTTTTCCTTCGTCGTCGCAATTAATCAATTATTTGCTACATGAAATGATGCATCAATGACAGTTTATTATGAAATGTATTTTGTGCGGAGAACCCTTAAATTGACTGTGCAAATAAGTGTGGTTGTTGAAGAGTGTAATTCGCTAAAACAAACCATTGCATTTTGTTTATCAATTAATAAATAACATTAAAAAATATGCTTTTCCCTTTAGTCAGCGGAATGGGAAATGCTGTGCAAAAAATCAATTTAAACTTTACTGTGTATAATTTACTTAATGGACTTTTATTTGAGATGAGTTTTTACGGTTGTTGTTTTTTTTTGAATGCTGAAATGCACCTGAAAAGTGAGGGGTTTTTGAAACTTCTTTTTCGGGGGCCTCATTAGATTGTGACTGGTAAATTTTTGCCTCGAATCCTGTGAAAGTGTGAGGAGGAAAAGGCATGGAGCGCAACGGAATGAGGAATAAACTACATTTCATATTCATTTTGAATCCTTGGCACGTCCATTCCAATTTCAACTTTTCCCTCTCTCTCTCTATTTTCCATTTCGTCTTCTATTCAGCAAAATATGTTTTAGCATAAGCATCGCACCCCTCCTGAGGAAAAAAAGGCGCCCTTTTGCTAGGATTTTTCTCCGCTGAAGGACACAAAAAGCTCTTCTCCGCACCTTCGGCTAAAATGCCACAGAGAGACTTCGTATTAGATTTTCTTCTGGCACGCGCGTTTTTCCTCGCCATGGCAAAAGGCGCGCTCTTCTGGATCCCCTTTTTTTCCAAACGGGGGCTGCAGAACAGCGGCCAAGGAGGAAGGTGAGGGACAAAAAAGGAAGCCGAGAAAGAAATAAGGGTGGAAGTGTAAGTAAAAAGTTAACTTTGTGCAGTGGAAAAGGAGATGTGAACTCAAATCAATTTGTCATTCACCCTATACTAATTTAACCCTCTCACGCGTGCTGCACGTCAAAGGGAGTTTCGCAAATTCTGACTATCTTTTTGCATCATTTTCTCCGACACGTGAATTATTAATTATATTGTGGGGAATGGATTCCGAGAAAGAGATTTGTGGTATTAGCTTCGGAGAGTATTCAGAAATATTTAATGATAGCACTTTTTTTTATCAAAGGGGAGATTTGTTTGAGAATATATTCGCTTGTTATTCCACTCTTAAGGAGATTCGGTAAAGAGAATACTGATAAAGAGAAAATAAAAATGGTAGAGAATTAGAACGATGGAATTTGTATTGTAACTCCGCCCATTTCTTCGCTCCGCCTTCTGTGATCAACATTTACAGATTATTTATTTCAGGAGCGAATTAGAAACACTGGAACAATGTGATCTTGTTCGAATTCAGAGAATATTCCTTTACTTTGCCATTCGACAGAATCTTTGTGATGAATCTTCCCGATCAACCCTTCTGTGTGGCGGGAAGACAAACCGTCGTGTACCGCCTGTAAAAGACAAAAGAGGGGGATGGACAGCGACTTAAGGAAGAAATTCACTGAGTTTATTTATTCCCAGTCCAATTTTTTTGCTGGCCATTCTTGCACCCATTCTCAATTGGCAAGATTCTGGCTCGGCGAAGCATTTGCGGACGACAGGGTGGCTGGGGTGCAAAAGGGGTTTGAGCTAAATGGAGCAAAAACATCCCCTCGATCATGGAATTGTATACACATAATTGAATTGGTGTGTACAAGAGAATTTTTTCATCCACTTTACTTTTTCATCTCATGCTGTTCTCTCAGTGTTTTTTTTTTGTCGTTCTCTGTTTGTTGTTTCTCAACTCTTCGACTTGTGCGTGATTTTCATCCGCCCTTCTATCACTCTATTAAATTTGAATTACGCGAAAAATTCAAAACCATTTCCATACCGTAACATGCACCGGCATCGCGTCTCTGGAGCTGTTTTTTTTTCTACTCCCTTCTGCAGACATCATCATATTTTTCGGAGGGGTCACAGGGAAAGGGGTTAAGTTGGCACAATTAAAAAAGGCTTTTTTTTTTGGCCAAACTTGCACGCGATGAGGAAAGAAATGAAGCGAATACGTTGGCAAATGCTTTTCCCCCATTTTGACTGTTCGCAGGTGCAAATTTAGTGGTGAAGAAAAGGAGGGAAATGTTTGGCGAAAGCCGGCAAAAACGAGGGTCGATTCCTCGGCTTTCATGTTTGCCGATGAGGTGAACAACCAGAAAATCCTTATTTTGCATAGAAAAGTAAATATTCGGTTTCGTGGGCGAATGAAGGGGATAATAATCGCACACACACACACACACACACACACACACACATGTCATTATCAATTGTGCACTGAGTCATAGATGTGGAGAAAAGAAGCAAGTTGGAGAATCGATTTTGTGAGCTCATATCTTTCTTTGAATTCTCCACTTCTTCTCTGGTGTGCCTCTTGGGAAGGGAGCTTCTTCTGCGGCTCTCCCGGAACAGTGCAAAATCAATACATCAGTGCATCCTGTCAAGCGAGAGCTCACAAGGCTTTGGATATGTTGCCCACTTGGCAAGATTGCATGGACGTGAAGATGGGTGGCTCTTGTCAATTCCCAAAGAAGGAGGACAGCCAAAGTGGATATATAAAGTTTTACGGTTATAAAATGCTTCAACTTTTATATATTGGTCGGGATTAGAAATCCCCTTGAGGACATGTCAACGATTGCACTTTTTAACTAGAAAAATCCTTATCTTACACGCCATCTCTTTGTCCACTTCATTTGTCACTCGCCATTTCCGTCCAGGACCTTCTTTTCAACTGCTGGGATGGTCGTCAGATTTGACATCAGATGCTGTTGGTGATTGTGAGCACCTTCAATGGAATGATGTCTTCAATTTTTCCACCCGCACAATAGAGGAAATTGGATTGTGCATTGAATTGAGTTGGGGAAACATCAGCAAACCAGTCGATCGTCTTATCAAAGGCTTTTTTTTCACAATTTCTGTATTAGGTTTCGAAATAGTGCATCATCTGATTTCTTTACGGTTTTTTTTGAGTTAACTCCTTTAAACAAATGCCCAAAATACTAAGTTTTTTTTCCATTGAACTCCTGAATTTTGATTCATTTTCTTAAAACCTTTTCGCAATGGGACTGAATGGATTCTCTGTTATCAAATTATACGGTGCGATATTGAAAAGAAGAACACCTGATTGTGTTGGATTAATAAATAACAAAGATACGGTTTTGTGTGAGGATTTTTCATTTTTGTCTTCACATTCTAAGCAGCTTAAGCACCTTTGGATTGATTAATACATTTTTGGTTTTAATAGTTTGTAAGAGGATTAGGTTGAAATGGTCGTGAATATGATTTAAGGGTCTCATAATCGACTATGTAGAACCATATTGAGGTGTTCCTGGAAGAGGACTAATCAACAGCATTTAGTGTTGTCATTTGTGATGTGAAGTAAAGAAATTCAGAGCTCCAGATGCTCAGAGCTTTTTGAGCATAATGCACAGTAATTCCACTTGCAAGTTATGTGCTGCAAACTACAAAACTCCCTCTGGCCACGTCTCGTGTGTGGCGCACTCAAATCGGCGCCCCAGACCCTCGTTGAAAGTTCAAAAGAATCCCCATATCTCATCGAATGGGGGTTAATTTGACCATGATCACCCTCCAAAGTGTGCTCTGTGTGCCTTCACTTCATTTTCTTGTCAAGGATAATGAAAAGGATTCACTGGAGACATGCTCTCCTTGTCTCGCTCACCTCATGCGCCCCAGGAGAATCATCCTTCTGGGCTTTTGACCTTCGGGGCTTGAATTTCCGTGTGCGGCCAACATTATGTCTCTGCGAGAGGATTTCCTCTTCCAACCCCGCGTCGTGCTGTTTCGCTCGCGCCAATGGGGATTGTCAATGGGGGCTTCTCTGTCCGATTCGTGACATATGGTGGGGTGAACATTCGCTCTGTCGCGGCGAGAGAGCCTGGAAAGGATGTCTGTCTGGCGGGGGAAAATCCTGCCACCGACAGTCGCCGCTCGCAGTTCTCTCAGTGACAGAGAGAGTGAGTGAGGTGCATTTTGCAAGGCTACAATTACCTTCGTCTCGCTCGTGAACGTGTCATTTGGATAGTGAAGAGTGAGACGAAGCGGCGCAGATCTGCTATAATCCGACTGAAGAGGGGAAATTTGCCGACTCTCCATGATCAACACCAATTTCGTCTCTTTCTGCCTGCCCTGCCACACAATCTCAGCTCTCGGTCGCACTATAGTCTGGTAGACACTCGACATTCGCTCTCTGTCGCTCTCCATTCGTGTCACAGTAGGTTGAGTTTGCCGGACGCCAGGCAGAAAATTTCAGTTCACCAAAAACCGTCTTCAGTCTACGAGCGACTACGTGTACGAAAGGTCGCGCTGTTTCGCATCCCCGCAACATTTTTGCCGCTTTTATTGCTTATTAATGTATAAAAGGAATTCAAGCAAGAATCAAGTAACAAAACCGGTGAATTGTAATTCTCTCTGAAAAAAAAAGAATAGAAGAAACGGAATAAAAAACAGCCAACGTCTCCAAGATTAAAAAAAAAAATACACTCTGAGAAAAGTTTCTTGTCCGGAATTGCTGAGAAATCTCCGCTAGTTTCGCAAGATTTTTGGTGAGATTCGCAGTCGAAACAGTTTTTCCGGATAATGTCAATACCTATCATCAAATCTACTGTCGTAGAGTCTCCGTAGGAGAGGTATTTTTTTGGCAAAGGAACCGCTGGATAAACTCCATACTTTGAATCACACGTGCGTGAAAAGTTATTATAAAAAAAAAGAAAAGGAAAAAAAATTAAATCAAATCTAATCTGCAAAGTTAGTTCTTAAAAATTAAAACACACGTTAATCAACATAGGAATTAAAGGCAAAAGTAAAAAAAAAAATTGTAATAAAATTTCTGAGTGATTGTGAATGTTCATAAGGTTTAATCTTAACTCCAAATATTCTCGATAACATAGAAAGAGAGAGAGAAAGAGAGCTAAATAGAGATTGTCTAACTCAAAACTACATATTTTGTGCTATAAGATTCAACTTCAGTGGTGTTTAACAATTGAAGGCAAGAAACACACACACACAGTGCTCTTTTGAGGATCGCAGGCATTGGATTTGGTGTAAGTTGAAACTATCTTTTCTATGTATTCTATCTGAGCCGAGATGCAGGGATAAGTCGAGAGCTTTGCGGACATAAAGAGTTGTATTTTCAAGTGAAAAGTGAATTTCCTAACTTGAAAACATATATTTTGTATGATCTAAGTCGAAGTTGTATCCGAAAAAAACATAGACGAAACATAGAAAATCTGTTTCTGATTGTAACTACAAAATTTGGGACTAAGACTGTCTGTTAAATCTATAAAAACAAGTATAAAATGTCTAAAGCGGCATGATAAGACGCTGTGTTATCAGGGAATATGTCATTTTTTTTTTGTTCTACCGAAAACTGAATCTCCGTTTACTGTGTGGCGTTTTATTGACGATGAAATCCCAGGTCGATTTTTTTTGGCGATCTCCAGAAATCTCCGCGAAAAAACGGTCAGAGAGTGTTTGCGATGCAGGAGTGAAACGCGGTGCGGGCAAAGAATTAAAACCAGTTTGAGCATGTAATCATGTTTTCGGGGCATTAATTCAACGAGACGAATCCCCAGTTCGATGCACAAAAGTGGCTTTCTTGGGTGTCTGGTCTTATTGTTTTCCACTTCTTATTTTTTTTTTTTCGGCCAGCGCGCACTGCAAAATGTGCCAAAGTGTGTAGGAGATAAGGTGGTCGAGGCACAAAAGGAAAAAGGAGAGCAAGAAGAAGTGAAAAAGAGGCGAAGAAGGGAGATTAAGAGACGAAAGAAGATTGTGTTCTAACGATCGGGAGGGTTTGCTTCTTCGTCTCTCTTGTCCGTTTTCTTTTCCCATTTTATATTTATTCTGCACACAGAAATTCTTATTCATCGCACACAATCTCTGTCGTTCTGGGTGGACGCCACTCAGTTACAATTTTTTCATCACATTCATGCTTCTTCGCCCGACTTTTTCTTATCAATTAGCCGAAAAATACACACACACACAGACACACTGTGGCGTGCTCAAACTGTGACGGGTGATGAAAATCATGCTGAAAAATCAGCATTTCAAATACGAAAAAAAAAAATGAAGAGAGAACCACAGAATACTTGATCTTCTCTCCTCTCAGTGTTTTCCTTAAGTCGCAAGTGGCGAAAGAATGTCCATTAAATCAATATTGGGGCGCGCGAGAATGAAAAGATTGCTGGCGGTAAAAGTTTTTCACGAAGAAATGCCCAACTTCTCGATATTCCAACGAGAGAGAAAAGTGTGATGCTAAAAATAGTGCAGATGAAGCCAAATATCCACCCACTCATTCAACCCAACATCACATTTTATCTGTGGCTCCGCACCCATGAATTTTCCCAGACTTTTCCTGCCAACTCACAGTGTTGGTTACTTCGGGAATTTTCACGAGATCCCACATTCTTCAGTCAGGTGCATCTTGCTTTTGGTGTAAAACAATATTTATCTTAAGTCAAAAGTATATAGTTTTGCAAGTTTTTCCTTCTGACAAGTTTCTGGTGGTGTTCATGAATGGAGAATTCAGAAAATTTTCATGAAAAGATAACTAGAAAATTCATGGTACATCAAGCGAATTGTGTTGGAAAAATAGACATGTATATTAAATGTTAGAACTCACTAATTATTATAATGCACGAAAACATAAATGTTAATGATGAAAGAAGTGCACAAAATTTTAAGCCGGTTCTTCTTAACAATGTTGAAGACTTATTCTTGTTTTCTCTTCTTATGACTTTATTAGGAAATTTTAAAATTGCTTAAGAATTGTTTATCATTTATTTCGATTATTGGAATTCATTTTTTTAACTATGATTTGTGGAGCATTTTGATATCCATATTATCACCTTTAGTCAAGGGTATCTTTGGATTTCATGTCTCTCTGTAATTAAGGAGAATTGAAGCCTCAATTGCACTTGGTAATTCCTTTTCAGTAATTAATAGAATAGCGAAGCTAGAATATCAAAGGCATGCATTGAAGCCTGATGAAGATTTTCATTCAAGTTTCAAGAATTAGAACAATTTACTTATAATTCTGGTAATTCTGGTCTAAATATCGTCTCTTTGACCTGTATTTCCAGGATAATAAAAAGAAATATACGCAATGGAAGTTCTTAAAATAGCTGAGGGAATAATCAGCATGCAAGAAAAATGATAATGATGTGCTTTCGTCGACGAATTAATCCCTCTCCATGAAGGTTACGCTGATAAGTGCGCATTGAGTGTTGGAACTTGAGTGATTTAGAAAGCGAAAGAGGTGTGATAAAACCCCAAATCTGATAAGGTTTATCACTGATTTCCAGTCACGATGGTCGTGTGGCATAAATACACACATAAAATTGATTTTTTTCACGACACTTTCTCACCGTTTTTTCACAGCTATATGAGAGAGAGAGAGAGGGTGAAAAGAGGAAGGCGAATCTTCAAGTGGAATTCCCTCTCGATTCTCGAAAGTCAGAGTTTGAAGAAATATAATAATGAGTCTCTCCGCAGGCATGAAATTTTTGCTTCATTTGCTGCACAAGACGTTCTCATTCGGCTGCCATTCATCATGCCATACAGCATCTCGAGAGAAGGGTTGAAAGTGCTTCATTTTCAATTGTTTAGTGCAAAAACTTGAATATTCACCCCTTTTTGCCCTTCTTCTCCGCCTTGTCGAACTGCTTGAGAATTAGGGGTCTTTTTGGAAAATTCCTCAGTGGAAATTCCGGGCAGCAGTGACATGAGAATTGTGTGCTGTGTCCCACTTTTCACGATGGGGTGGGATTGGGGTAGCTTTTCGCCAATAAATTCCACCCTGAAGCGAGGCGGGGGGAGAGACTTTCCGTGTGCATTTTCTCCAAATCGAAAAGTAATTTCATGTTACGGGCGCTTGTTAAAATTGTCTTGCATGCAAAAGTTGGGGTTCTCATGCAGAAGAAAGTTTTCTTGAGCGGCGATGGAGAACTAGGAGTGTTGTGTGTATGTATATTAGTTCCACATTCCGACGCCCAGAGATCATCTCCATGAGAGCTTTCTGTCGCTCACTCTCCTGGGATTTTCACTGTTGGGAAAGTGAATGACCTGGAAAATGTTTCAAGAGAAAATCTCCACTAATTCGTGGGGCTTTTTTTTCTCGCCTTCGTCTTCCTCATTACACATCAACTTTGTACCTTTTTCCACGAAATGACTCTCTCTCTTCGGTGTCTATTTTTGGCCGTTTGGGGACGATGAGTGTCTTTTTTCGCCAACTCGCATTTTCCATTCCGACGCTGAAACGCGCACACCTTCTAAGACGCTCTCTGGCTATAGGGAAACTTTTCTATTTGTCAATTTATTGCAGTGGAGAAGGCATTGGGAAATTATTGCTAAAGTTTTTCCATGTCCTCTGGCAAGAAGACAGTGTGTGGCAATTCAAACGCAAGGCGTATCACATTACCAGACTTTGGCGGGTGAAGAAAACATCCAAAGTGACGGGTGAATTGAAAACTATGAAAAGTTCATTTTTCCAGGTATTTTTGGAAAGCAATATTTTCTGTTTTTTTCCATCAACTTTGCCATATTTTACTCACAAATATAAATAAATTGCAATAAAATCAACTGAAAAATTCAGAAAATAATTATTATAGAACCGATTAGAAGGTGTTTCGATAGTTTTCAGGTAAATTTGGTAAATTTCGCAGCCACAATAATAGAAAATTTTCAACTCACTTTCTTGAAAAATGTCGATTTTGAGTTTCCTTAGTTTTCGATTCACCCGTCAAAATGTCAACGACTTTGTTGGAGGCAAAAGTAGGACAATATTCTAAGTATAGAAATTATGTCTGAAGAACAGCAAGAAAATGTTAACCTTTTACAGCAGTTGCATTTGCATTGACACAGTCTGTGCTCTCAAGCAAATTAAATGATTTTTCCCGATGACGATCATCCATTTGTTTTCACTCTCATGAGTGAACTCAGTGGCAATTTTCCTTCTCCCCCCCTTTTCAGATGGTCGCGCGCGCCAGTTAAAGTGGTTTTTATTTGGGCTGTAAAAAGCTTAATAATGATGTTTTCACTTGCAAGAGAATATATATATGGTGGCCTGGAGAGGGAGAGAAAAACTTAACGATGTGGTTTATTTTTAATATCACTTGGAGAGCGACCGGTGAACCTTGAAGAACAATCCCAGCGTAATTCCTTTAGACAATTCCACGGCGATGAGTGTCGAAAATTCGTACATGGCGAAGTGGAGTTTAGATAAGGGAATGGCAGAATTGAACGCGACAAGGCATATTTGCCATTCGGCACATTGAATATGGTAATGGGCATAATGGAAAATTCACGGGTGAAGAAAATTAACTTGCTAATAGGTGAGACACATTTTGTCCGCGCTTCCTCGCACGGGCACACAAAACCATGTTCTTTTTTTTTCTGGGCTAGAGAAGTGTCGATGTTGGCATATTTTTCAACTTTCCTCCGCAAAAACCAATAATTGGTCATGGAATTTCGGTGTGGTGGTGAAACAGCCCCGAGGAGGGAACATTCCCACTCTCACCCTCGTGAAGGAGCGCCAACACAAGAGAGAATCTTCCCCGAGACTGTATGCCGAAAGTGTAGCAGATTGTCCAAATATCGCTTTGGCGCGCCAGATTACAAACTTTTTCTTGTTAGAATTTCCTCTCTCTCTCTTTCTCTCGCTTTATACCTACTAATATGGGGAAAGTTTTTCACCCTCGATGTGAATTTTCTTCATTTTCCCACTTCTGCTTCTCAGGAATTTCCCAGGCGTCTTCTCGAATGAGTGGATGATCTCAGGCAGTGATGTTGCTTCTTGTTTTAAATTAAAAGCTGAGCTTTTTGCTACTGTCTGTGCAGATGATTTTTTTTTTGGTAGATAGTTTGCCAAGTTGAAGACAGTGGCGGCTGTGTATTCAAATCATGTTAAGCTTGAGTGCTGATATTTGAAATTTCACATGAATATGACGCGCTATTATCAAACATTGACATTCTACGGATTCGATGACCGCTGCCGGGTTTCAAGGAGTTTCGCTAATGATTCTTCATGCACCAATTGAAAGCA